GTGTCTCTCTCTGTGTGTTTGTGTGTGTGTGTGTCTCTGTGTGTGTGTCTCTCTGTGTGTGTGTCTCTGTGTGTGTGTGTGTGTGTGTGTGTCTCTCTCTCTGTGTGTTTGTGTGTGTGTGTCTCTCTGTGTGTGTGTGTCTCTCTGTGTGTGTGTGTCTCTGTGTGTGTTTGTGTGTGTGTGTGTTGTGGGAACGTGTGTGTTACCTCTGATGATGTGTATGCCTGCTCGTCCATTGAGAGCACACACCAGCTGTCTGTGAGCTTCTTCACACTCCACTCGACATTTCTTCTGCAGAGACTTCAGCAACTCCTCCATCGTCATGGTGCTACAAACACACACACACACACACACACACACACACACACACACACACACACACACTTAACACACTTAACACACCCTCCAACAGACCTTTAAATAAACTCAATCAGCAGAGAGGTGTGTGAGACCCTTCTCCATCAGATCAGCGCTGCAGCTGCCTCACGATGAAACCTCTCAGCAGTGATGGGGGTTAATCCTGTCTTTGTGTCTCTTTGTGTGTCTTTGTGTGTCTTTGTGTGTATTCTGTGGTTATTTTTCCGAGTCTTTATTTTTCACCTTTTTGTGGTTTTTTTTTCTTTGTTGTAATTTGTTGTCTAATTTGATCCAATGAGGGTTTTCCTTCCTGGTCGTTTCCTTCCTGGTCGTTTCCTTCCTGGTCGTTTCCTTCCTGGTCGTTTCTTCCTGCAGTGGAGTTGCATGTTGTTATAGTTGTTTTGTGAGTCATGTTGTTTTCCATCCAGCTATCGAGGTCCTTTTGTGTCTAATTTAGTCGCTTTGTGTTTTTGTGCTCGTTTTCCCCCTTTTTCATTATTTCTTCTAATGTCTCTGCGAGTCTTCGTGTTTTTTAGTGTCTGGGGTCGTTTTGTGTATTTTTGGGGTTGTTTTTCTCCCATAAGCAGTTATTTTAGTTTTCCAGTCGAGGTCCTTCTGAGCCTAATTTAAGTTTAGTGTTTAGTCGTTTTTTGTATTATTATTTCTAAAGTTGCATGACCGCTTCTCTTCGTGCTTCTTTGGGCTTGTTTTTGTGTCTCTTTGTTGTCATTATTTCTCTCATTTCTCTTATTTACACCCCTGAGTGCCCCCCCGCCCCCCGCCCCCGCCCCCGCCCCCCCCCCTCACCTCTTCTGCAGCGGCAGGAACTCGCCCCTGACGGCCTGCGGGTGGCAGCACGCCTGCCTCAGCCTCAGCAGCGGGTTCAGGATGTTCTGAACGCTGCGCCGGTCCAGACTGCCCAGCTTCAGGCTCCAATCAGAGACCTTCCTGAGCTGCAGCAGTGCATCATGGGAACACACCTCGTGCTGCCGGTGGTAGAAGTGACCCTCCACCGGGGAGAAGTTCAGCCAATGAACCTCCTCCGTCTGGGGGGGGATCTGGATCTGCACACATGGAGAAATAGTTAGAGGTCTCCCACTCTACAAACACTGGATCCTGCCCAGTACCTGTGTCTGGTATCCAGTCAGAACGTGTCTCTCCTGATAGAAGGTAACTCCAGGAGAGACACTGCAGTGAGACAGAGGCTCTTGATTTTAGATAATGCTTCATCTTGTTCAGTCAAAACATCTCACTTTGAGTCATATCTCAGAGGAAACACTTTATTTACATCTTTATTAGGAAATCACCAGCTAACATCAGAACACAGAAACCTTTGAGGATTATTCTGAAACACAGCATCTCCTGATTCTGGTGACATAGTTCAGAATGAGTTCTCCTGCTGATTACAAGATGTGATTTATCTAAACATCCCTTCTTACTTCCAGACATCTCACCAAGCTGATGTTCACTTGTTCTGTTGGCTGATCTTTGGACTTCTAGAGATCTCACCAAGCTGATGTTCACTTGTTCTGTTGGCAGATCTTTGGACTTCAAGAGATCTCACCAAGCTGATGTTCACTTGTTCTATTGGCAGATCTTTGGACTTCTAGAGATCTCACCAAGCTGATGTTCACTTGTTCTGTTGGCTGATCTTTGGACTTCTAGAGATCTCACCAAGCTGATGTTCACTTGTTCTGTTGACAGATCTTTGGACTTCTAGAGATCTCACCAAGCTGATGTTCACTTGTTCTGTTGGCAGATCTTTGGACTTCTAGAGATCTCACCAAGCTGATGTTCACTTGTTCTGTTGGCTGATCTTTGGACTTCTAGAGATCTCACCAAGCTGATGTTCACTTGTTCTGTTGACAGATCTTTGGACTTCTAGAGATCTCACCAAGCTGATGTTCACTTGTTCTGTTGGCAGATCTTTGGACTTCTAGAGATCTCACCAAGCTGATGTTCACTTGTTCTGTTGGCAGATCTTTGGACTTCTAGAGATCTCACCAAGCTGATGTTCACTTGTTCTGTTGGCTGATCTTTGGACTTCTAGAGATCTCAACAAGCTGATGTTCACTTGTTCTGTTGACAGATCTTTGGACTTCAAGAGATCTCACCAAGCTGATGTTCACTTGTTCTGTTGGCTGAACTTTGGACTTCTAGAGATCTCACCAAGCTGATGTTCACTTGTTCTGTTGACAGATCTTTGGACTTCTAGACATCTCACCAAGCTGATGTTCACTTGTTCTGTTGGCAGATCTTTGGACTTCTAGAGATCTCACCAAGCTGATGTTCACTTGTTCTGTTGGCAGATCTTTGGACTTCTAGAGATCTCACCAAGCTGATGTTCACTTGTTCTGTTGGCAGATCTTTGGACTTCTAGAGATCTCACCAAGCTGATGTTCACTTGTTCTGTTGGCAGATCTTTGGACTTCTAGAGATCTCACCAAGCTGATGTTCACTTGTTCTGTTGGCTGATCTTTGGACTTCAAGAGATCTCACCAAGCTGATGTTCACTTGTTCTGTTGGCAGATCTTTGGACTTCTAGAGATCTCACCAAGCTGATGTTCACTTGTTCTGTTGACAGATCTTTGGACTTCTAGAGATCTCACCAAGCTGATATTCACTTGTTCTGTTGGCTGATCTTTGGACTTCTAGAGATCTCACCAAGCTGATGTTCACTTGTTCTGTTGGCAGATCTTTGGACTTCTAGAGATCTCACCAAGCTGATGTTCACTTGTTCTATTGGCAGATCTTTGGACTTCTAGAGATCTCACCAAGCTGATGTTCACTTGTTCTGTTGGCAGATCTTTGGACTTCAAGAGATCTCACCAAGCTGATGTTCACTTGTTCTGTTGGCAGATCTTTGGACTTCTAGAGATCTCACCAAGCTGATGTTCACTTGTTCTGTTGGCAGATCTTTGGACTTCTAGAGATCTCACCAAGCTGATGTTCACTTGTTCTATTGGCAGATCTTTGGACTTCTAGAGATCTCACCAAGCTGATGTTCACTTGTTCTGTTGGCTGATCTTTGGACTTCTAGAGATCTCACCAAGCTGATGTTCACTTGTTCTATTGGCAGATCTTTGGACTTCAAGAGATCTCACCAAGCTGATGTTCACTTGTTCTGTTGACAGATCTTTGGACTTCTAGACATCTCACCAAGCTGATGTTCACTTGTTCTGTTGGCAGATCTTTGGACTTCTAGAGATCTCACCAAGCTGATGTTCACTTGTTCTATTGGCAGATCTTTGGACTTCTAGAGATCTCACCAAGCTGATGTTCACTTGTTCTGTTGGCAGATCTTTGGACTTCTAGAGATCTCACCAAGCTGATGTTCACTTGTTCTGTTGGCAGATCTTTGGACTTCTAGAGATCTCACCAAGCTGATGTTCACTTGTTCTATTGGCAGATCTTTGGACTTCTAGAGATCTCACCAAGCTGATGTTCACTTGTTCTGTTGGCAGATCTTTGGACTTCTAGAGATCTCACCAAGCTGATGTTCACTTGTTCTGTTGGCAGATCTTTGGACTTCTAGAGATCTCACCAAGCTGATGTTCACTTGTTCTGTTGGCTGATCTTTGGACTTCTAGAGATCTCACCAAGCTGATGTTCACTTGTTCTGTTGGCAGATCTTTGGACTTCAAGAGATCTCACCAAGCTGATGTTCACTTGTTCTGTTGGCAGATCTTTGGACTTCTAGAGATCTCACCAAGCTGATGTTCACTTGTTCTGTTGACAGATCTTTGGACTTCTAGAGATCTCACCAAGCTGATGTTCACTTGTTCTGTTGGCAGATCTTTGGACTTCTAGAGATCTCACCAAGCTGATGTTCACTTGTTCTGTTGACAGATCTTTGGACTTCTAGAGATCTCACCAAGCTGATGTTCACTTGTTCTGTTGGCAGATCTTTGGACTTCTAGAGATCTCACCAAGCTGATGTTCACTTGTTCTGTTGGCAGATCTTTGGACTTCTAGAGATCTCACCAAGCTGATGTTCACTTGTTCTGTTGGCAGATCTTTGGACTTCTAGAGATCTCACCAAGCTGATGTTCACTTGTTCTGTTGACAGATCTTTGGACTTCTAGAGATCTCACCAAGCTGATGTTCACTTGTTCTGTTGGCAGATCTTGGACTTCTAGAGATCTCACCAAGCTGATGTTCACTTGTTCTGTTGGCAGATCTTTGGACTTCTAGAGATCTCACCAAGCTGATGTTCACTTGTTCTGTTGGCAGATCTTTGGACTTCTAGAGATCTCACCAAGCTGATGTTCACTTGTTCTGTTGGCAGATCTTTGGACTTCTAGAGATCTCACCAAGCTGATGTTCACTTGTTCTGTTGACAGATCTTTGGACTTCAAGAGATCTCACCAAGCTGATGTTCACTTGTTCTGTTGGCAGATCTTTGGACTGACTTCTAGTGGAAACAGCTTGATTTCATTGTTGAACTTGCAGCTTTTGTTCCAGTGTATCGTGCAAAATGCATTTCCTTTGGGAAATATGTCATTAATGTGGTTTATTTCCCTCACATGGTTTATTTAGCCAGTGTGTTCAGATATGCAGTCACCATTAAGGTTATTACTTTCACCTGCTAAAGTCAGAATGGATTCAGTATGAATGAGCAAATTCAAAACAATATTTAAAGCTCTCCTATCATGTTTTATTCTCACTTTGAAAGCTCTATCAGGCAAAATGCTCTTTCTGAGTCTCCTGACACACCAAGTGTCCCCGGTGTGTCAGGAGACTCAAATGATCAAAATACTACGGAGGGAAGATATTTTCGTTTGGATTACTGGTCTGGGGGAAGTGTGTGTGTGTGTGTGTGTGTGTGTGGGGAGAGTTTGTTTCCCGGGGAAAACCCTCAGGAGAAACACCGGCTGTTGTTTCAAGTTACTCCGCTCTCCGCTTGTAATCATACCGAAGCTTCAAAGCTGTATTTATCATCTGAATTTGCCGAAACAAGTTTAATATTCTGAAAGCCAAGACTTTGTTTATTTGAAAACAAACTGTGACGGACCCTGCCGTGTTATCTGATTACTATACTCTTACATTCATCATGTCAGCCGGAGGGAGGGGGGGCGGCGTGTGGAACAGCAGAGGGGAGGGAGGGGGAGCGGCGTGTGGAACAGCAGAAGGGAGGGGGAGCGGCGTGTGGAACAGCAGAAGGGATGGGGAGCGGCGTGTGGAACAGCAGAAGGGAGGGAGGGAGGGAGGGGGGGCGGCGTGTGGAACAGCAGAGTGGAGGGAGGGAGGGGGGGCGGCGTGTGGAACAGCAGAGTGGAGGGAGGGGGGGGCGGCGTGTGGAACAGCAGAGTGGAGGGAGGGGGGCGGCGTGTGGAACAGCAGAGGGGAGGGAGGGGGGGCGGCGTGTGGAACAGCAAGTGGATGGGAGGGGGGGCGGCGTGTG